GTTGTGTATTGTGTATATGAAAGGTGTATGTTCAGACCAGACAAATGAACAGCTGTGCTAGCTTTTGGCTACTGTAACAGACTACTTGAGATCATCAACAATAAAGAGACTAGGTTTATTTTGGCTCACAGTTTTGGAGGTTTCTGCCCAGCGTCGGTTGGAACCATTGCTTTTGGGCCTGTGGTGTGGGAGTACTCCCTGGTGGGAGCAGGCCGCAGGGCAGAGCTGTTCACCGAATGTGAGTGAGAGGAGGGGTCTGGTCACTGCACGCCCCTCCGCCGCACAGGGCCCTGTCCTCCTCCCTTGCCAAGGCCCCTAGAAATGGTCCAGTACGGGAACCTCAGGGCCGAGCAAGTGTCGGGTGTTTTGTTGTTAGAGTCTGGAAAGCTGAGTGATGCCCCTCCCACCCTTCCTGTGAAGTCAGGCAGGAGCCCTGTCTTAGAAATGTTTTCCTCCTACTGGTATTCGCAACACTCTGAATTTTGTCTATCATTCTTTCCCTTTTCACAATCACCACCTCATACTTCTATGCAGCCCGTGGTTTACTTTGCTCGTGTGTGAACTTAATAGGAGTTATACATTGTGCTTTTTCCACAGTGAGTCTTTTGCTCAGCACTGTTGCTGAGGTGTGTTTCTTTTGAAGCATGTAACTGCTGCATTTCATTTCCCTAGTGAATTCCTTTCTGGGAATATGCAGAAAGCTATCTGTTCATTATTGATGGGCCTTTAGGGTATTTGCAGTTCTCAGTTTTTGTAAATATTGCTGCTGTGGACATTGTTGAGCTCTCTAGAGGCGCAGGTGCTGGGTACCTGTCTGGAGTGTAATTTGGACCCGGAGCCCTCCCACACCAGCTTTCCTGGAGCTTCTGTCCCCAGCAGCTGAAGCTTTCCCTGGCCGCTTCACATCTAGGTCTGCAGGCACTTGATTTGCTGGTGGGACGTGGGGTCTGGGTGGTGGTGATGAGTGGGCCTGGAGCCACTTGTGTCCTTCCTGGGTGAGTTGTCTGTCTCTATCTGGGCAGTTGTAGGCTTGCTGGTCTTTCCTTGTGGACTGTAGGAGCTTTTTTCTGCCTCCAGTCTTGGGTGCATTACTTTGTCTCTGCTTGTGTTTTGTCTTTGCAGCCTTGGTGTGCTGTTTTCCCCCCACTCCGGGAAGGGCGCGGGGGTGGGGTGCACGCAGGCCCGCTGTGAACACTGTTTCTTTGGAAACTTTGATTTCTCTTGCTGAGTTCCCTGTGCCTTGTCACTGCGCTGTGCGGGTGCTGGCCCCTGCTGCGCTTGGTACCTGCAGCTTTACAGCCTTGGCCGTCTGCGGGGCTCTGGTTTTGGATTTCCTGAGGATGAATGATGTTGGGCATCATTTCAAATTCACTTAGCATCTTTTTTTTTTCTTTCAGTACTAGGGTTTGAACTTGTCCCACTTGCTGGGCAGGCTCTACCATTGAGTCACACCTTTAGCTCACATTCCTTTAGTTCCTTTGACAAATACTCGAGAGAAACAACTTCAGAGAGAAACAACTTCGCTGTTGTATCTCCTCCCCTTCCTCCCCCCCCCCCCCCGTTTCCCTCTGATTCTGTGCCTTCCTCCTCGCTCGCTGTCCTCAGGTATGCACATGTATATACCATATATGAGGCCAAGAACATGGAGTCATCTAGAAGTGATACAACAAATTAAGTAGGAGTCCAGTGTTTCTCAAGTCCTGTTTGTCATATTTCCTTGTGTGTTGCCAGGTATAAGTTCACTAAGGTTTTCTCTTGTGATTTCTTCTACATGTTTTGTAGTTTTAGATCTGTGACCTATGTTAAATAAAGTTTTGGAGGTTAAGGTCAGGGTGTTTTGCATATTTGCAGATGTTCATCATTGATTTAGTTGCTGCTACTGGCCCAGATGGCTTAAACCACATAAACTTGCCTGGAAGTCTCGGGTAAAGTGGATGATGTGACCAGGGCTCACCTCTCCTCTGCTGAGGAGAGCAGGAACATGTCAGTCCAGCCCGGAGACCTCGTGCCAGTTGCCAGTTTCCACCTTGTGTTTTTCACTCACCGTGTCCTGGACGTCATTCTGTTCAAGGGCACAGGTGCTCAGGGCTGCAGGACGCCACCTCAGCCTCAGTAGCTTGGGGTCACAAGAAGAATGCAGAAGAAGAATTTTTAAACAACATTCTCAAGGAATTGGTGGCAAGGAATAGTCTTTTGAGAAGTTTTGACATGTTCATGTCAGTTTCTCTTCGAAACTTGTATTTGTCTGCAAACATGAACTGGTGTGAAGCCTCCATCAATCACCTGTCTTTTCTGAGGACCTCCAGTGACCAGCAGATGGTGCTGTTGGGTAGCAAAGCAGGAGAGCTTGGGTTTCTAGAATTGGTGTGGGTGGAACTGTGGTGTCGGATGGCCCCTTCCTCCCCCAGGAGATTTCAGGGCCCCCTTCTTCCCTTCGCTCCTGGATTTCAGACCCCTCCCCTTCCCCTCTGGGAGATTTCAAGCCCCCCTTCTGGGAGGGGTTGTCACTGGGAAGTTCCTAAGGGGAACCCCAGCTAAACACCAGGTTTTTGGTGTCCGCCTTTTATGGTCGCAGGAAAGCAGTGGTTAGGACTCTGGACATTTGCTCTAAGTCACCTTCCTTTGTGTGCTTGCTGGAGCTGCTGCTTTCTCCTTCCCCACATTGAGCAGTTGACACTCCATCTGCCTTAATCTGTTACTGTTTCTCATAATGGGGTGATTTGGCTTTAGACACAAACACTGGACTAGATTGCAGATGAATGGATTTATGAAGCCTGACAAGTTTCTGTTACTTCTTCCCATCTGTTCCTGTGAAGAGACGCGGGGGCTCACCAGGGTGCGCCTGGCCAAACCTAAGAGCTGTAGTTGGCCTTGGCCTCGGCCTCCCAGCACTGGTCCTCAGTCCCGTGAGCCCCCCCCCCCCTCCCGCCAGGATGTTTGAGTGTGGTGGACTCCAGCCCCCACTTTTGTGCAGTCCACTCCTCTGGCACCTCCTCTGTGTCTCCCTGTCCCCACTCTGTAGCACAGCCTTGCTGAGCGCACCTGGCTCTCTTCTGGATCTTGTTCCTTACTTCAGGGAGCTGTTGGCTTTTTTTTTTTTGGTCGGTCATGGGGCTTGAACTCTGGGCCTGGGCGCTGTCCCTGTGCTCTTCAGCTCAAGGGGATCGCTCTCTCTACTGCTTGAGCCACAGCGCCACTTCCGGTTTTCTAGTGGTTTCTTGGAGATAAGGGTCTCATGGACTTTCCTGCCCTGGATGGCTTTGAACCATGATCCTCAGATCTCAGCCTCCTGAGTAGCTAGGATGACAGGCATGAGCCACTGGTGCCTGGCTTCTAGCCTTGTTTTTTGCTGGCTACTTTGGAAGTAAAGTCCAGTGAACTCTTCTGCCCAGGCTGGCCTCAAACCATGACACTCCAGATCTCAGACTCCTGAATAGCTGGGATTACAGATGTGAGCCACTGCTGTCTGGCTCAAATACACTGTAGCCTAATTACAATCTATAGAACATTTCTATTGTCCCTTACAAAAGAGCTCTTGTAGCCAGCCACTAGTGGCTCACACCTTTAATCCCAGCTACTCAGGAAGTTGAGATCTGACAATTCAAAGTTAGCCCATGCAGGAAAGTCTATGAGACTTGTGAGACTCTTATCTCCATTAAACCAGCAAAAAGCTGTGGCTCAAGTACAAGAGTGCCAGCCTTGGGCAAAAATGCTTAGGGACCGTGCCCACAGCCGAGTTCAAACACCAGGACTGGCACTAAACAAAATCTTTTTTTTTCTTGTGCTCTTTTGCCATCCCCTCCCCTCTCCTTGATTTTTGGCAGTGTTTGATTTGCATCCCTAATTCATAAATCTGGGCTTCCCTAAGTCCTTAGTGTTCCAAAATCTTTAAGTGTCTGAGCCCTTCTGCCAGACTTGCTGTTTGCTCCTGTGGATTGCAGTTCCAGTGCATGTATCTATGGCCTTGCTTCTGTTTGGAGTCTTGTGCTGCACAGTACCTGAGGTTGCTAACTTTGTGCAAGCCCTCCTTTGCGGGTCGGCGTTCAGGACTGTGCTTCAGAGTGCCTCCCGTAGCGTGGACATGGCCGTGGCAGGATGTTTTCTCTGAGGCCAAGATCCAATCTGGAGTAGGAAACCAGAGCCAGAAGGAGGGGCAGGCTGGCTCCTTACCCAGCTCCCTCTCCTGAGAACAGTCAATAGGCCTCCTGTGAGGCTGCCGCATTCTGACTCTGACCCATTGTCCAAGCTGGAGCACAGATAAAGGACGCAGCGAGGCCCAGAAGTCAAAGGCCGCCTGTGGCTGCTTTCTGGTGGCAGAGCTTTGCCTTAAGTTCTCAACAGTTGCTGGGAAGTGAGTCAGGCCTCTCTTTCTGTTTCTCCTCTGTATCTGTTTTCAGTGCTGGTGTCTGATACTCTGGGAAGATGGCTCAGTGGTAGAGCACTTGCCTTGCATGCCTGAGGCCCTGGGTTTGATTCCTCAGCACCACATAAAGCAAAATGAAAAAAGCCAGAAGTGGCGCTGTGGCTCAAGTGGTAGAGCGCTAGCCTTGAGCTGAAGAGCTGAGGGACGGGGCCCAGGCCCAGAGTTCAGGCCCCACAACTGGACCCAAAAAAAAAAAGAGATCAGATTTTACAGAGTAGTGTTAAAAATCAGCAGCCCATCTCTTAAAATGTCAAGCTTTGCAGCTTCAGCACTGGTTTACATTTCTTTGTGACATTCGGAAAGGTCTGTGCCAACTTATTAAATGATAGGAAATAGAATTTAATTGGAAAATAATACCCTGCTTTATGTTTTCAGACTTGAAATCCAAAGAAGTGGTAGGAATATTTTGGAGAGACAGCTTACTCCTGTTTAGTTTTTTTCATTTGTGAAGTGAGAGGTGTAAAGAAATATCCACATGGTCTCTTTACCAGTATCCTCTGGACTGGGTATTCATTTGGGACAAACAGAATTGTCCCTTTTTAAACTTGAGCCCTTGTTTTCTGATTTATAGCTTGTTTCCTTGTAAAGTGTTGGCTCGAGTGACATGGTAACTCTTCTGTTTTGCCTTCATAGAGTTAACGCTGAATCCTCCTGAAGGGATTGTGGCAGGTAAGGGACTTGGGTGGCTTCTTTGTGATCTTCTTACTGTCAAATTTGCCTTCAAGGGTAAGCTCTTCTTATTTTTTTCTTTCCCTACAGGCCCCATGAATGAAGAGAATTTTTTTGAGTGGGAGGCATTGATCATGTAAGTTGACTGTACTGGTTTTTAGAGCTTTCCTGGCTATCAGTCCCTGAAGCCCCGCCCCCGATGGTCACACCTGGCAGTGAGGCACGCTGAAGCCCCACCCTGGTGGGAAGCAGGGTCTTGATGCAGCCTGCCCTAATCCAGGCTGCTGATCAGAAGGCAGAAAACAGGAATGTGGAGCCAAAAGAAACGACACTGTTTTCTTAGGACCAATACAAGATTTCCTTAAGTATTTATGTAGCTATAGAGTTTCAAGGTGGTAATTTTTTATGCTGCATGGTTCTGTTAGGAAGGAAATGAAGTGCTTATTTTTCATTCTGATCTTTCAGTGAAGTCAACACAGAAAACTGACCCCGAAAGCATGAAGTTTCTGCTTGTCAGTGAGCAGTCAATTCTGCAGCTGATTCTGGGTCTTCTAGTCCCATCCAGTTCTGATCTTGTCTGCCTGGACCTAACCCTGGATGGATGGTTAGGCTGTGATGACACGTGGCTGAAGGCTCTGCCCCATTACCTCTGACTCTGAGATGGAGCCAGGTGTGTCTTCTGACCCCAGGCTGGTCCCGTGGAATCTGTGACTGGAGAAACTGGTCCCTGTCCCATGTCAGCATCCAGGCCCAGAGTTCAGGCCCAGCACTGCTCCCCACCCCCGAAAAAAAGTTTCATGGACTTTCCTGCCTGGGATGGCTTTGAACTGTGATCCTTAGATCTCAGCCCCCTGAGTAGCTAGGATTGCAGGCATGAGCACCAGCACCCTACTTGAGGATTTTCTTTATTTTCTAAACTTCACATGAGGATTTCCTTGATAGTATATTTTTGAAAAATGATGAATAAAAAGTAAAAAAAAGGTCATCAATAAATACTATGCAGAGAAAGAGCTAGGGCCTAATCTCATGGTAATTTGTCAGACCCTCATTACTTGCAGTATGACACATGATTTTTGTGTGTGTGTAAGGATTTCTGGGATCTGTTGTGTCTAATGTGGTACAGTGAAAGCTTGGTGATGGCTAAACCGTAGGTGTACTGAGTCCCATAGGGACGGTCTCTTTTCCTCTATATGCGTCCCTAACATGAAATGGAATTAATTGTATGCTAGCCACAGTGAGAGATTAACGCTAGCTACCAGTTACTACAAAATGGAGCAGTTAGCAATCAATCAATATTCTGCAATAAAAGTTACTTGAAGCTTGTTTATTTTTGGAATTTTGCATGTAGCATTGTCAGACAGTGACCTGTCCCCCACAGATCTGGGGGACAGGACAGGTGTTGTGTCCTGCACAGGAGACAGTTGTGGGCTGATGGGTGACCCTGTCGGGCTGACCTGCCGGTCTGTGGGCTGGCCTTGCCTGTCGGAAGCATGTGGTTCTGGCATGCAAGCCAGCCTTCCACCTCTGAGCCACGCCCTAGAGCCCGGGGTCCTGTGTCAGCCCGAACACACCTGTGCTCACTGTCGCGTGCAAGCAGTTGCCTGCCTTGTCTGTGTGCGTGTTGTATGTGCCTGTACAGTGGTCAGGGTGTCTGCCGGACTTGCACAGTGTTAGTTCCTGCCCACCTGTGGCAGGTGCACGTAGAAGCTCTGTGAAGAACAACTGAGCCTCCAGTGTGGTTTTTACACAGTTGCTCATTGTTAACAATCTGTTAGAGTAACGATTACTAATTTTGGATAAACAGTATAAAACTAAACCAATATTTTGAAAACCTGCCTTAAAAAGTAATTAGAGCCGGTTTTAGGGAGAGCAAGTTCGTGTTTGAGTAAGGCTTTTGCGTGAGTGTGGAATTCCCCTGTTTCAAGATCTGGTGACTTTGTGGGTTTTGGCCCTGTTCCAGACCCTTCACAAACAAGAGGCCGTTTGCAGACGTACTTAAAGCATCTACTTGGGAATTAGCTGTCCTCCGCCGAGCTGTCTCACCCAGCTGCCCGGCGGGCAGCTGGCTGGGCTGGCTTCTCATGGGCCGGCCTGGAGGCCTCTTTGCTCCGTTCTCCTTTGGTCTCCGTGGGCCCCTGCGGCCCTCGTTTCCAAGCATTTCACTTGCTGCACGAAGAGGCTGGTGCTGACTCTGAGGGCCCACGGCAGCCCTGACTCGCAGGCCAAGCAGTACAGACTCAGGCTTTTGTAGATGTCTGGCCTTGTGTCTGTGTGTTCTTTTGGCCAGCTTCCCATAGCTGTGACAAGTAGCTGAGAAAACCAGGGTAAGAGGAGGGAAGACTTTGGCCTGTGGTTCTGGCGGTTTTAGTCTGTGATTCCTAGGTCCCATTGTTCCTGAGCCTGAGAGCAGGCAGAGTGCGAGGGCGCAGGGGCCCGTGGTGCGGCCGGCTGCACACCTCCTGCGCCCACCTGTGTGCGGGAGGAAAGGGGCTGGGCGGACGGCCCCCGGCCTGCACGGGCCTGCTTCCTCCAGCCCCAACCTGACCCTCCTCCCAAGCCACCATTCAGCCTTGAACTCCCATCCACAAGGCTGGCGGCACCACCAGCCCCCCAGCAGCCACGCCTTCAGCACCCGAGACACTGGTGTACCAGACTGCAGCTGTCCTGCCAGCCTCCCTGGGGTTTCTCACCGGCTCTGCCGCCTGGCTCCTGGTCCCACAGGGTGGCCAGCCTCCCTGTGGCCCCGCAGAGCGGCAGATGGCCAGCACGCGGAGCTGGGAGGAGGGAGACTTCGGGCCTGCCTACGAAGGGGAGAGCTGTTCCCCCGGGCCCCAGCTGCAGTTTCCGTTCTGTGTGTACAGAGTGCACTCAGGCCCACCTGCCCTCCAGCGCTGCCTCAGACCTGTGTCAGGTGTTGGTTCGTAGACGCGGGGAGCCTGTCGCGGATGCCACCGCAGTGCTGCGAGCGTGCCATGCCGCTCGCCTCCATCTCCAGGCATCTCCTCTAGTCGAGGTGGAAAGCAAGTCTGGGTTGTGGAAGTGGAAAGCAAGTCTGGGTTGAGGTTGAGCTTGGCATGTGTTTTCCTGAGCAGTGACCCCCGAGCAGGCGTCACCGGGCTCCGGAGGACCAGGCGTCAGGCGGTTAGGCAGTGGCTATGTCTGGAGTACTTATAAGTGACCTTCCTGTGCAGAGGTGACTGGGGCCGGAGTGCCTTGCTCTGCCTGTCCCGTTCCTGACCTTATAACCCCGAAAGGCGTGAAGTCTTGTGTAGGCTTTGAAACAATTTGTCCTTGCTTGGCATAAATCAGTTGTGTTTCCTTCCTTGTTTTGAAGATCTCCCTGAAGGGAGATGTGGTCCCGATGTGTGGCAGGAAAACTTACCCACAAGCCCCTGCGTGCTGCCTCCCCCTCCCAGGGCAGGAGCCCTGGCAGGGGCGCGTCCCACAGCCAGCTGGCACGCCACTGCACATGTGCCCACCCGCACACCTGTGCAGGCACGGGCGCTCTGGAAAAGGGAAAGGAGCCCCAGTTCAAACCAGTAGTGAGCTGGAGCATTCACAAATAGTTGGAATGGTGCACATGTGGGTGCACTCTAGGAAGTGTTTGGTCATGCTTTTGAGGCTGTGAATAACTCAGTGATACATATTTTTTTAATTTAAAGAAAGCCCCATTATGAGAAACAAAGGCCCGTTATCAAAGTTGGCTCTTTCCAAAGACTACCCAGCCTGTCCTGGAGGTGCCAGAAGCATGGGGCGCTGCGGCGTCCCTGACCTCCTGGCACTGTCCCTGGCGTGCTGCCTGTGTGTGGACCGCCTGGCTGGGCAGTGTGAGCTCCCAAACAAGCTGGCTTAGGCCTTGGCTCAGTCCTGCGGTCCTCCCAGCAGCCTCGTGCGGCGTGACCCGCGCCGTGAGGGCACCAAGGGCTGCCCTGCCCGCTTGTGGTGCTCGCCCGGGCTGCTGGAGGATGCGGAGGATGCCTCAGGCCCACGTGGCTCCCAGGCAGCCCTCGCCCTGCCCAGCAGCTGTGCCACCGCCCAGCCGCATGCCGGAGCTCCGGGGCACTGCCACGCAGCCTGCCATCTCCACACAAAGGAGCTATTCACCGTCCTTCCCCAAAACGTGGGCAACAGTTTGCAGAGTCATTGAGGTTGAACAAACGTGGCTTTATAGAACAGCGTTGTTACCGTGACAGCAACAGGACTCAAACTTCACTCTTGTTTGTTTCTCTTAGTTGTAGAAACATATACTCTTTGGTTTGCAGATTAATATTAATAGCACTGAATCAAAATAATTTCATTAAAACTTTGAATAAGTTTATGCTTTTTTTTTGTTGTCAGTTGTGAGGCTTGAACTCTGGGCCTGGGCGCTGTCCCTCAGCTCTTCAGCTCAAGGCGAGCGCTCTACCACTTGAGCCACAGTGCCACTTCTGGCTTTTTTCTTTTTGCTTATGTGGTGCTGAGGAATCAAACCCAGGGCCTCAGGCATGCAAGGCAAGCGCTCTACCACTCAGCCACCTGCCCAGTCCCCAGAATTTGTTTTTAACCTGGGTTGGCCTGACGGTGATTCTGCCCGACTCAGCTTCCTGAGCAGCTGGGCTGACAAGTGTGCACCTATTGGTTGGGGTGGGGTTCTTGAACTTTGGGGGGCTTGGCTTGAACCATAGTCTTGTTGCCAAGTAGCTGGGGGTACAGGTATCATGCCCCTGGCTCCTAGCCAGAAGCAGCAGTTCTTCCCCCTTTCCCTTCTCCCTCCCTTCTCCCTCATTCCTCTTCTTCCCCCTCTTCTTCCTCCCCCTTCTCTTCTTCCTCTCTCTTTCTTTTTGTGATAGTACTGGGGCTCAAACTTGGGGTCCCTTACTCTTGTCTTTTTCATGGCTGGTGCTCTGAGCCATACTTCCAGCTCCAGCTTTTGGCTAGTTAATTGAAAATGAGTCTCGGATTTGTCCGCCCAGTTTGACTTCAAACTTTGATCCTCTGATTTCAGTCTAAGTAGCTAGGATTACAGGCATGGATCACCAGTACTCAGCTAGTCAGTATTTCTTAATTTTTCACGTGGAGTATCTTGGATTTGTATCGGAGGCATTTATGTTAGCAGTTCCATCTGTGGGTCCAGAGAACTCTGGAGTAGTCTGTCTTAAAGGGAGGCAAAGCTGTTTAAAAAGCATCTCCAAGCCGGGTGCTGGAGGCTCACGCCTGTAATCCTAGCTACTCAGGAGGCTGAGATCTGAGGATCACGGTTCAAAGCTAGCCCGGGCAGGAAAGACTGTGAGACTCCTATCTCCAATAAACCACCAGAAAACCAGAAGTGGCGCTGTGGCTCAAGTGGTAGAGTGCTCGCCTTGAGCTGAGGGACAGCGCCCAGGCCCAGAGTTCAGGCCCCTCGACGGGACCCCCCCCCCCCAAAAAAAGGACATGTGCGTAGTTGCTCCACTTAAAAGGCTGGCCCGGCCTAAAAACGCTGTGAGGGGGCATTTGAGGGTGAGGGTGGGCACGGGGAGGGGCTGTGAGGGGTATATCTGAGGGTGGGCACGGGGAGGGGCTGTGAGGGGTATATCTGAGGGTGGGCATTTGTAGGCGCTGCAGAGGCAGCTGAGGCTCTGCTCTGGGCCTGGCTGGCCTTAGCTGCTGAGCAGGCGCAATTCAGGAATCATGTACTTCATCTGCTTGAAGTTACAAGAGCTTTTAGCCCCGCGTAGCACAGGTCAAGGCTGGCTAAGCTCTGCCCCTGCTCACGTGTAGACTCACGGAGCCGTTCCACCATGCAGACAGGCCCTGGGCCCTGCGTGGCGTGGGTTCCCTCCTCTGCTCTTACCCCAAGCCTGCCTTGACTGATGCAGGAAACATCTGAGCTTCAGCCTTGGTGTTGAGGCTAAGATTTACACTAGCTGGCATGGGAGGACACATTGTTTTTTGTTTTTTTTTTTGGGGGGGGGTCTGGTCGTGGGGCCTGAACTCTGGGCCTGGGCGCTGTCCCTCAGCTCTTCAGCTCAAGGCTAGCACTCTACCACTTGAGCCATAGCGCCACTTCTGGCTTTTTCTGCTTATGTGGTGCTGAGGAATCGAACCCAGGGCCTCAGGCATGCGAGGCAAGCGCTCTGCCACTGAGCCACCTTCCCAGCTCCAGGAGACATTCTTTGCATTCAGAGAAGTAGCCGCTTCGTACTTCCTCCTGCCTGTGGTTGGTGCAGTGTCCCCGACCCACCTGTGAGCTGTGGGGGCAGTGCGCAGTGCGCTTTGAAGCTCGCTCTGTGGATTTCCCTTCTTCCAGGGGCCCTGAAGACACCTGCTTTGAGTTTGGAGTTTTTCCTGCCGTCCTGAGTTTCCCGCTCGACTACCCGCTGAGCCCTCCCAAGATGAGGTTCACCTGTGAGATGTTCCACCCCAACAGTGAGTCGCCCCGTGATTCTGCTCCTGCCTTTGGACAGGGCCGGAGCATAGGGCCAAGGCCCTCATGGAGTGGGGCAGTGCATGACCAGTTGGTCATGGTCCGTTAGATGTCCTGCCCACGCAACTGTGGCTGTCCAGTGGGCGTGAGGAGCTTGTGCCTCAGTGGTCCCTGGAGCACCACTCTGTGGTGCAGAGTAGCTGGTGGGAAGCTGGCTGGGGCCCTGGTGAGGGGCAGTTTGGCTTGAGTGGGTGTGGGGCCATGGGTGGGCTTGAATGGGAGGAAAGGCAGCGGGCACGGGAGCCAGATGGGGGCTCTGGGAGGTGTGACGCCTTGGCCCTTCCCGAGGGGAGTCCTGAGGGGAGGAGAGGTGGTTCAGAGACTCCACATGGGTGGACGGGGGTGGGGGGCAGCACAGGACGTGTCCACCTGGTTCCACAAACTTCCTTGAGCCAGAACTGGTGTCAGGTTCCTGGGTAACTGGGAAAGGGGTAGATGTTAAAATGAGACTACTCACACCTCTAGAGCCTCCTGAAATTCTAAATTGTCATCGGTAGTGACACGCTGTCAGTGCGACCTCTGCTCCTCGGTCCCCGGGGAGGTGTGTGCATCTGTGTGCGTGTTGAACCTCCTGTTTGTGGTCCCCAGCAGGCTGTGCCTGACTTCAGGTGCTAGCTGGGGGCGGGGGCTGGGGGCGGGGGCTAGGCGAGCATCGGGCCTCCTGGCTCCTTGTGGTGCTGATGCTAAGGTGGGGGTTGGGGCTTAAGTCATCCCAGTTGCCTCTCTCCCTGCCACATAAGTGTCTGTTTATGCAGTTGGACTTGGGGTGGCTCAAGAGATCAGTTCTGAGGTGTTGTAAGTAATCCTGGCATTTGCAGGTCATCTTTTGTTCACTCCTCTGGAGGTAATGCTTTAAAGAAACCCCTGAGAAGGCGGAGTCCTCCCACCGGGCTGCAGTGAGGAGGGCTGGGAGGCCCCCCTGGGCCTCGCCGCGTGACGCGTGCTGCTTACGCCAGGGTCCTGCTCCCGCTGTGTCTGTGCAGCCTCCTCCAGTGCCAGGTCGCCTTGAGCAGCCCTTCGAGGGCTCACCTGCTGCCTCTGGCTTTGCAGTCTACCCCGACGGGAGAGTGTGCATCTCCATCCTGCACGCGCCTGGCGACGACCCCATGGGCTACGAGAGCAGTGCTGAGAGGTGGAGCCCGGTGCAGAGCGTGGAGAAGATCCTGCTGTCGGTGGTCAGCATGCTGGCAGGTACGGCCGGGTCTGGGGAGAAGACCTTGCTGCTGTCGGTGGTCAGCACGCCGGCAGGTACGGCCGGGTCTGGGGAGAAGACCTTGCTGCTGTCGGTGGTCAGCACGCCGGCAGGTACGGCCGGGTCTGGGGAGAAGACCTTGCTGCTGTCGGTGGTCAGCACGCCGGCAGGTACGGCCGGGTCTGGGGAGAAGACCTTGCTGCTGTCGGTGGTCAGCACGCCGGCAGGTACGGCCGCTGTCAGCATGCCGGCAGGTCGGGCTGAGGGTCCAGGACCCTCCTGCGGCCTACGCCGCTCCTCGCTGCTCCTGTAGCCCATCCGGACAGTTCCGGCCAGTTCCTGACAGTTCCTTTTGCTTTTTTTGTAATTAGTCTATCCACAGTGTTTTTATTTTCTAACCTAGTTTTGTTGTTAAGGTGTTGAATGGAGGAGCTACTTCTCCCCTTCCTGTGTGCTCCCCCACGCTCTCCCATCCCTGCCCCAAAGTCGCAGCATCCAATTCATGCTACCTGGCTGCACTTTTCCAGGTGTAAGTAAGTGTGCTTTGAAAAATGGTCAGGGTGAAGAGAGCTGAGTCACGGAGCATGTGGTTGATCGTGATCTTCACTCCGTTGACATTTGCTGTGGACGTCACAGTAAAGCTCATGCAAAAGAGACCCCAGTGTTGAGGTCACCGTTTCCCGGGGACTCACCAGGTCAAACGGCGGCTGACCAGTGTGGCGCCTTTGATGTTTCACACGGCGCTGGCCTCTTGCCGGTGTGAGCCAGCCCTAGAAGGCAGAAAGGGAGGAAAGAGAGGGGAGAGGCGTTCGTGTGAGAGGAAGCTGAGTTTGTTGATGCCAGCCTTGTGACACAGTCCAGGGTAGGGAGAAGAGGCGTCTGTTGTGAGCCGCGGCCCTCGGTGGGCGCTCGGGGCAGCAGGCTGTGTGGTCAGGGAGGGGCGGAGCGGAGCTGGGCCCGGTGGCTTTGTGTGCTCTCAGCCAAGGCGCTGCAGAGATGGAGTGGAAGGACGTGAAGGTGTGGGTGGGTTCTCACTTTGTGTCACTGTTGCAGGCTTGTGTCTTCGTGAGCACCAGGCAGCTGTCCCCAGAGTAGGAAGAGAAGAATTTGGGGGACCCAGTAGCTGGCGGGAGGAGCCACTGGTCTGAGAGGGGCCTCTTCCCTTTGTGTTTGGAGCTCCACTCCTTCTCCAGGACTCCCCGCGAGGCCCTGGTTCCAAATGAAGTGGGGGCCCTTGTCACACCGCTCACACTCACAGCCTCGTTCACGAACCTTCCCTTCTCTTTCAGAGCCCAACGATGAAAGTGGAGCTAACGTGGATGCTTCCAAAATGTGGCGGGATGACCGCGAGCAGTTCTACAGGATTGCCAAGCAGATCGTGCAGAAGTCTCTGGGGCTCTGAGGCATGCCCCCCCCACGCACACAGACACGCAGGCCCTGTGGAGCAGTCCAGCGCTTTGCTCCAGAACCACGCCGGCACCCGAGCGGGCAGCCTGCAGAGCCACAGCACCTGTCGCTTCCTCCCCTCCCACCCCGAGCAGGCTTTTCTTCTGCTGTGTGACTTGTGTAGAGTAATGGCACACAGCATGCTGCAGTTCACAGTGTTCCTCCTTGAGGGCTTCGGGTCGGTCATCCAGGCCCCATTGCTACCTCTCCCAGCCACGCCAGTTCCGGCTCTGGCTCCGGCTCCCTCCCAGCCGCAGGACGGCTGGTTCCCGGCTCCTCCCAGGGCGCAGCCTTGCGCCCCTGAGACTCGACTCCTTCCTCCGAGAGCTGCAGATTTAGGTCATGCACTCAGTGACAACGATGCTCCTTTTAAGACTACTTGGGGCTGGGCCTGGAGCAGCAGGCGGGGCCTCAGGCTCTGGGGCCCCCCTGTGCCCCACAAGGCCTTTCTTATTTTGTGGTTTACTAGCAGCCTGGTGAGAGCGCTGTGCAGATGACCGACTGTCACACTAGGATTTTTGGGAGATGCTTTGCGGGCAGCTGGTGAGGAATGGGGCCAGAGGGCTGTCGCTGCCGCTCTGGCTGTATGTTGGGAGCTTGCCACTTTAGTTCCTGGTGCTCCAGCAGAGAGGCCTGGGAGCCCTCTGCAGACCAGGGGGCCTGTACCTGGGTGCTGTGCCCTGGGGTTGCACAGGGTGGAGCCCTGGGCACAGTCACACTTTGTGCGGTGGGTGGGATTCACCGCTGTTGCTCAGCATGGATAACTGGCCCTGGCGAGATAGTGACCGTGGCCTGGGCCCTAGGCTGGGGAAGCTCTTGGGGTGGCTGTGATGTTGATGGGTGTCCAGCAGCAGACTCCAGAATCCCACGGGCAACACAGACCTCTCACGCGCACGCACAGACACCTGGCCTTTTCCAAACAGGTTATGTGAAATGGTGTGGCATAGTCTGAGACAGGCAATATGTTTTCTTCCACAGAACATTTTTTCCTTCTTTTTGCTAATGTGGCTAGTTAGGCAGTCACCTTTTATACCAAAACCTCACATTTCATGGTGTTAATTCTTGGTTCAGGACTCCATATTCAGTTTTTCAGAAGAGAAGTTCAGCATGACTGATGTTTGGAAGGGTAGAGAGCAGAGGCATTGAACCAGAATAGTATTTGCAGGTACAAACAAGATGTCCTCTCTGTAAAGTACAACGGCTGGTGTTGGCCATGTGTGCAGGCTGACCATGGGCACGTGTCCCACAGGTCAGCACCTGCCCTGTGTCCATGGGCACACGTCCCGCAGGTCAGCACCTCTGCCCTGTCCACGGGCACATGACCGCAGGTCAGCACCTCTGCCCTGTGTCCACGGGCACGCGTCCCGCAGGTCAGCACCTGCCCTGTGTCCACGGGCACGCGTCCCTGCAGGTCAGCACCTCTGCCCTGTCCACGGGCACGTGTCCCTGAAGGTCAGCACCTCTGCCCTGTCCACGGGCACGCGTCCCCGCAGGTCAGCACCTGCCCTGTGTCCACGGGCACGCGTCCCGCAGGTCAGCACCTGCCCTGTGTCCACGGGCACGCGTCCCGCAGGTCAGCACCTGCCGTGTATCCACGGGCACGCGTCCCTGCAGGTCAGCACCTCTGCCCTGTGTGTGTCCACGGGCACGCGTCCCCACAGGTCAGCACCTGCCCTGTGTCCACGGGCACGCGTCCCCACAGGTCAGCACCTGCCCTGTGTCCACGGGCACGTGTCCCTGAAGGTCAGCACCTCTGCCCTGTCCACGGGCATGCGTCCCGCAGGTCAGCACCTGCCCTGTGTCCACGGGCACGCGTCCCCACAGGTCAGCACCTGCCCTGTGTCCACAGGCACGCGTCCCGCAGGTCAGCACCTGCCCTGTGTCCACGGACACGCGTCCCGCAGGTCAGCACCTGCCCTGTGTCCACGGGCACGCGTCCCTGAAGGTCAGCACTTGCCCTGTGTCCACGGGCACGCGTCCCCACAGGTCAGCACCTGCCCTGTGTCCACGGGCACGCGTCCCGCAGGTCAGTACCTGCCGTGTGTCCACGGGCACGCGTCCCGCAGGTCAGCACCTCTGCCCTGTGTGTGTCCACGGGCACGCGTCCCTGCAGGTCAGCACCTCTGCCCTGTGTGTGTCCACGGGCACGTGCCTGCAGGCCTCCCATGGGGTGGAGGAGGCAAGGGGGGCTCCACAAGCCCACGTATTTTTACTCATTTGTATTTATTAAATGAAAAGGTCTAGAGTCCCTCTCTTCTGTGGTCGAAGTGAATTACTGTATCAAAAAATAAACTTGTGTATTTCCCCCTCGGCAGTGTGTCTCTTCGTTGTGCTTTCATCGAATTGTGTGGAACCTGAAGCAGCTGCCTGGGCATTAGAGTCAGCGCTGCAGGAGCTGTCCAGAGCGCATCCCGAGGCCCCGCCCCGCCTCCTCTCTGTCTCCAGGACTCGGGTTCTTGGCTGTAGTCTGTGGCAGGATTCAGGAGATGGATTGGATGTGGAAGTCTGTGTGGCTGCTGAGATGTAATGAACTCAGCAGTTTGATGATGGGGATAGGAGCAGTCAGGTTCCATGGCTTGTCACAGCAGAAGCTGGCAGCAGGTCAGAGGTCAGGTCTCTGTGGCCCACGTCCTATGCTGTTCCGGGCTTCGAGTGTTCTGTGGTGTTTGTCCGTGGTCTGGTGTGAGTTGGTCCAGTGGCCTTGGCTCTGCGCTGGGCCACTCCTCCCTGGGCCGGTGGGAAGGACTGCAGGGCACCCTTCCTTGCATCTGGCAGGGGTGACACTCGGTCATGACCTCTGGAGCCCAACCTGCAGGGTGGAGAGGCTGTGTGTGCAAAGAAATACCACACTGCCTCCCATGCCCCACCCCAGCCACGCCAAGTCTGGCTGGCGCAGCCAAGTCTGCCTCCCGCAGTGCCCGCCCAGGGTGCCGCATCCAGCCCTCGGTGTGTTCTTTCACGCCCGACCCGTCTGCAGGTCTCCGCAGCTTGGGGATGGTGCCAGTTCCCCTGCTGCCTCCAGTCCAGAGGCCCTGCCACCCGGGGGAGGAGGCAGGAAGGACAGGTACCCAGCGTGGTCCTGCCCCAGGCAGAGGCCTCGGCGGCCTCGGCCCCGTACGCGAGCTGGGGCCCGGCCTGGGTGGCACGTCCCTCACGCAGAGCGGGGGGGGGAGATGTCCCAGTAACCCCCCCAGACGCAGCCCGAGGTCTTCCTCCCTGTGTGGCTTAGCTCTGCTGGGGGCAGCGGACAGTCCAGCCGAGGGCTGTGGATGGCACCTGCCGAGGCTCTGGGCGGTGGGGAAGTGCCGGGCGCTGCAGTGGCAGTTGCTTTGAAGTGTGTGCACATGTGTGTGCGCGCACGGGCGTGCAGCTTCCTCTTTGAGGCAGAGGCGCTGGCATTGGAGTTGTGTGCACGTGTGTGTGTGCACGTGTGTGTGCGTGCGGACGGGCGTGCAGCTTCCTCTTTGAGGCAGAGGCGCCGGCGTTAGAGTTGTGTGCATGTGTGTGTGTGCACGTGTGTGTGCACACGCGTGCAGCTTCCTCTTTGAGGCAGAGGCGTTGGAGTTGTGTGCACGTGTGTCCGCACGTGTGTGTGTGCACGTGTGTGTGTGTGCGCGTGTGTGCAGCTTCCTCTTTGAGGCAGAGGCGCCGGCGTTGGAGTTGGCTGAGGTGGAAACCAGAGACGAGGCCTCTGACATACTGGGTGAGACGGCGTGTGCTGGCGCCACACGGGACAGCGGCGGCAGGGCCGGCCGGGCTTTGATGGCTTCTGCGGCTTGGACCAGTTCCCTCTGTGATGTGCTGAGGCCCGGCCAGGGCTGCAGCACCACCCCAGACGCTGGGTTCACAACACGGAGCGTGTGAGCGTGTGCACATACGGGGCACACATCCCAGACACCTGACACAGGCCCGTCTGCCCCAGATCCCCAGCTTCACAACACGGAGCGTGTGAGCATGTGCACACACGGGGCACACATCCCAGACACCTGACACAGGCCCGTCTGCCCCAGACGCCGGGTTCACAACACCGAGCATGTGAGCGTGTGCACACACGGGGCACACATCCCAGACACCTGACACAGGCCCGTCTGCCCCAGATCCCCTGGCTTCACAACACTGAGCGTGTGAGTGTGTGCACATGTGGGGCACACATCCCAGACACCTGACACAGGCCCGTCTGCCCCAGATCCCCAGCTTCACAACACGGAGCGTGTGAGCGTGTGCACACACGGGGCACACATCCCAGACACCTGACACAGGCCCGTCTGCCCCAGATCCCCAGCTTCACAACACGGAGCGTGTGAGCGTGTGCACACACGGGGCACACATCCCAGACACCTGACACAGGCCCGTCTGCCCCAGATCCCCAGCTTCACAACACAGAGCGTGTGAGCGTGTGCACACACGGGGCACACATCCCAGACACCTGACACAGGCCCGTCTGCCCCAGACGCCGGGTTCACAACACAGAGCGTGTGAGCGTGTGCACACACGGGGCACACATCCCAGACACCTGTTAAAGGCCCGTCTGCCCCAGATCCCCAGCTTCACAACACGGAGCATGTGAGTGTGTGCACACACGGGGCACACATCCCAGACACCTGACACAGGCCCGTCTGCCCCAGATCCCCATCTTCACAACACGGAGCGTGTGAGCGTGTGCACACACGGGGCACACATCCCAGACACCTGACACAGGCCCGTCTGCCCCAGATCCCCAGCTTCACAACAC